TAACATGACAGTGTAGGTTAGAATTCTTAGCTACTTAGGCCCTCAGTGGCATGCCCGGTCCTTGTCGTCGATAGAAGCCATGGTGCTGGGACTTAGCGTCGTACACTACCTAGCCACAGAGGCTGAGGAGGACAGGGGGCCTTCAGCCTGGTGAGGCGCGCTTAGGACTAGCCTAGGGGAGCTATGTTGTCTGAGCAGTCTGAAAGAGAACAAGCCACCCCAAGTGTAATAGGTTAGTAAAGGCCTTTCTAGCTGCTGGCTGCTAGCTGACCAGAACTAACATACACACCTCCAAGTGTTCTGTGTTTTGCTGTCCCCTGGCAAGAAGAAAGGAGCCCTGCTTAAAGGAGCAGTGGTTAAAGCATTTGGCTGCTAACCAGAAACGTTGGCGGTTCGAACCCACCAGCTGCTCCGCTGGAGAAAGATGTGGCAGTCAGCTTCCGTAACGATTGCAGACTTGGAAACCCTGTAGGGCAGTTCTACTGTCCTATAGGGTCGCTATGAGTTGGAATCAACTTGATGGCAGTGGGGTTTATTTATTGATTTTTTGGCAAGAAGAAAGGGAGTGTGGTTTGAAGGAAGAAGGGAGAGAAAGTCAAGTTGATGAGAAAAGACTGTCAGAGAATAAACATTTCTTACCCCAGAACGTCAGTAAATACCAGGTCATAACGTGACAAACTCGGTGATTTAAATAAAGGAGACAGTATTGCTGGGGCCACTGATGTGTGTTTGCTTGTCTCAAAACAAGATACTGAGATACTAAAGTGAGTGAAAATGTATCCAGTGCACAAAAAGTGAAATGCTCAAGTTCCAAGCCAGAGAATGTTCTCGGGTTCCATTTTTGGTGCTCTAAATGTCAGCAGGTGGAGCTTTTCCTAAACACCATTCTTTTCAGTCTTGATATGGAAGGCTTGCCCTGAGGTGGAAGCTGCTGTTTGCTTGGACCACGAAGAGTCTCTTCTGTGTCGCTCTGTAGCATTGGGCAAAGGTCAATTTCAGGAGGTTTATTTCTGGTATGGCTGGTTATTTCTGCTAAAGCCATTAGAAATTACAGACGTGAACGCTGTAGCTTGGAGGACCAGTGTCTACTGGGAGGTGTTAGCATCCCATAAAAACACCCATTGCTGTCGAGTTGATTCCGGCTCATAGCGACTCTATAGGACAGAGTAGAAAGCTGTAATCTTTACGAAAGTGGACTGCCACACCGTCCTCCCACAG